GCGAGCGTTTGCACGGGTTGGCATTTGCCTGCATGCCAGGCTTGCATGGGGTGCCATACATGTGCTTGCACGCACGTTGCATGCTGCAAGCATTTGCATGGGTTGCATTGCATGGGACGCCATGCATGTGCTTGCACGCACGTTGCGAGCGTTTGCACGGGTTGGCATTTGCCTGCATGCCAGGCTTGCATGGGGTGCCATGCATGTGCTTGCACGCACGTTGCGAGCATTTGCACAGGTTGGCGTTTGCCTGCACGCCAGGCTTGCACGGGGTGCCATGCATGTTCCTGCATGTGCGTTGCATGCTGCAAGCATTTGCACAGGTTGGCATTTGCCTTGCACGCCAGGCATGCACAGGTGCCATGCATGTGCTTGCAAGCACGTTGTGAGCGTTTGCACAGGTTGGCGTTTGCCTTGCCCAGGGTGCCATGCATGTGCTTGCACACGCGTCGCGGTGCTGCACGCGTTTGCACAAGTTGGTGTTTGCCTTGCACGCCAGGCTTGCACGGGGTGACATGCATGTTCTTGCATGCATGTTGCATGCTGCAAGCATTTGCACGGGTTGGCATTTGCCTTGCACGCCAGGCTTGCACGGGGTGCCATGCATGTGCTTGCACGCATGTCACTGCCCTTGCACGGGCTGGCACGCATTTGCACGCGTGTCATGATGTTTGCGTGTGTGCCCATGCCCTGGCATGCATTTGCATGCATGTCACATGTTTACATGTGTGTCTGTGCCCTGGCATGCATTTGCATGCGTGTCATGATGTTTGCATGTGTGCCCATGCCCTGGCACCCATTTGCACGCATGCCAGGTGCTGTGCTGATGTTTGCACACCTTTGCACGCATGTTGCTGTTGCACTTCCACTCCTGCCAGCATTTGCACCAGCATCCGCAACCATCTCCGTGTCTCTGCGTGCATTTCCCACCCTGTTAGGATCCGTGCATTCGTTTGCCCGTTTTCCGGTGTTTTTGCAGTTGTCTCCGCGCCTGTGCACGTGCACAGCCGCGTTTCCGTGTCTTTGCATGCATCTGCATGTGCTGGTGTCAGTGCTCACGCGTGCATTTGCACACGTGCAAGCGTTTGCACAGAGGTTCCCATGCACCCACACAGCCCCTTGCACCCGCGCGGACTCCTGCACCCGCTGTAACGACCCGAAGCTCCAATTAGCGTCTCCCCAAGGCCGTGGTTAATGATCGCCAGCGGTCCCAGCCCTGCGCGCGGTGAAAGGTCCCTGCTCTTGCATCACCGCCGCGGGGAGGCATTTTGGGGGCAGAATGTACCCATTTGGGGCGAGGTGACCCCCGGGGATGCCCATGTGATGGGGGCACCCGCTTGGGGGTCCCCAAAGCTGCTTGGGGCACCCGTGTGGGGTCCCTGGGGTGTCTGTCTCATCCGGGCACCCACACGGGAGCCGCCACCGATGGGGACATCCACTTGGAGGACTTGGGGCACCC